GTCTCTGACCATTTCATATAGAATGGCTGTAGTCTCTGACCATCTCCTATAGAATGGCTGTAGTCTCTGACCATCTCCTATAGAATGGCTGTAGTCTCTGACCATCTCCTATAGAATGGCTGCAGTCTCTGACCATCTCCTATAGAATGGCTGTAGTCTCTGACCATCTCCTATAGAATGGCTGTAGTCTCTGACCATCTCCTATAGAATTGCTGTAGTCTCTGACCATCTCATGTAGAATAACTGTAGTCTCTGACCATCTCATGTAGAATGGCTGTAGTCTCTGACCAGTTCATATAGAATGGCTGTAGTCTCTGACCATCTCCTATAGAATGGCTGTAGTCTCTGACCATCTCTTATAGAATGGCTGTAGTCTCTGGCCATCTCCTATAGAATGGCTGTAGTCTCTGGCCATCTCCTATAGAATGGCTTTAGTCTCTGACCATTTCATATAGAAAGGCTGTAGTCTCTGACCATCTCTTATGGAATGCCTGTAATCTCTGATCATCTCTTGTAGAATGGTTGCAGTTGATGACCATCTCATATAGAATGCCTGTAGTCTCGGACCATCTTCTGTTGCATTAAATTTAGTAAATATTATGTGCTGCCCTTTGGTTATGTTAGGATCCGCAACTGAGACCCCCTGTATCAAAAAAGATGACCAGCACTGTTTTTAACGGTATTACCATCTGAATATCAGAGCTAGTGGGGTAAGAGTCAACCCCTAGCTTACAGTTGCTCTGTAATATGAACAGATATCATGGTGGAAGGTCTCCATTGTAGTCTAATTACAATGCCTGTGCAGGCTCTTGAACTATTGAACTATTCCTTGATAGAAACGTTGAAATCACATTTCTTACTGCTCATAGGGAAATGCACCAAAAACATACATTTTAATGCACACAATATTTGGGCATGAGAAATGTAGAAAAAAGATTTAAAGCATATCTAACCCCAAAAACAAAAATGTCATCTTGAAACTTACCAGTTCTTAAAGTGTATCTAAACCCAAAAATAAAAATTCAATATATTGCAGCTTACAAATCCTTAAAGTGGCATTAAACCCTCAGATTTGTTAACATAAACCAATACTGTAATG